CTCGTATTCTCCTCATCCTTTTTATGCTCTCATAATCTATATCTCCTACTCCCACTATTTATGCCAATGGTTTCATGACTTATAGACACAGCCTAACTTCCTGAGTTTCTGCTTCTCCCCTTCCTCACCCTACTTTAGATGCACCCCAATACCTTAGCTAACAACGCTAGAACCAATACATTACCTCGCGATTACGAGCGTATGATGCAGAAGATAATGTTTCGGATCGGCCCGACCACTCTTTCAACCAAGAAGATTAAGCCCATGCTGATGAGTAAGCGTGAAAGGAAATTCAGTGAAGAAGCGCGCTTATCCACACCGCAGGGTCGCGAGATCATGTATCGCCGTCTACTGGACGGCAAAAAGAACCTTGTACCCTTTGGGAAATAATGGATAGATCTGCCTTACGATGGTTGCCTCCGTCGCCTACTTCACAAATACAAACACTTCCACCCGATAAGAGATCTTACGCCTTGCTTGATAGTGGACCACATCAACGGCCCTCCTTGTGAGAAGACTCAGTTGAGCTCTAGAATGGTAAAGACGAACCAGTTTTTTCATTAGTGAACTCCTACATTGTGACGCAAACGCTTCTTTGAACAATATGCAGGGATCATCTCGAGGTAGAGTCCCCACTTTGCAGTGCCTTCCGGCAGCGATTCAATGGCGGTTAAGAGAATTGATTCGAACACACCAAAAGCATGACAGCTTTGCAGGGCAGTTACTCGGGTTGGAACGAGTGCTCCACATCTCACCACGCCTCCATACGTCGCCCCAGTAAGCACCAAATGGAAGGACCGAGAATGGTATGTAAAAGGCGTTTATTACAAACACGCGCAGTCACGATAATGACGGTGATCATTTCCTTTCCAAATGCGACGACGATTTCGGGGGACGAGAGTGCAAGAGATACGAGGATTAGAGGATGAAGAGCTAGAGATAGGTAGGAGTAGAAGCGTGAGTAAGAGGGAGAGAAAACCCTAAAATGTAGAAGCAGTTGAAGCATTAGGAATAGGAGGAGAAGGAGGAGGAGACCTAGAAGAAGAGAGGAGGGGAGATGGAAACCTGTATCAAAACCTATAAAAACCCATGACGTATCATTCATCTGCGCGCACGAGGACGTGGTCGATGACGACGACGTGACGAGGAGGAAACCGAGCTGGATGATGAAGACGATCTTGAACTGCTTCCTGCTGACGATGACGACGAAGAGGAAGTGGAGGAAGATGAGGAGGAGCTGGATGATGGGGAGCGTTTTCGAGAGGCGCCACTATTAGCCACTTGCTTTCCACGGCTCGACGCACGCTGTGGCTGTTTTCCAGTCGATTCTTTCGGAGCAGAGTCCGTCGCCCCACTAACACTTGTCTTTGCATCGCCACCACCTCGAGGCGCCGCATTGGCAGAAGATCGTGTATTTGAAGTCAATGGACTTCTTGACCGTCTCTCACGTCTCGCCGGTGGACCTATCGTAACGGAGTGTTATTAATTAATGCCTTTAGAATCCGTGGCATCCTTATGGATGATTTAGGTACAACAATAATGACCATGGGATCGGTGAGGGTTATAACCCTCCGTTTCGGCTCACTGCCACTTTCTGGATGGTATTAATGTATGCTAATTAATCCTGCTGTAGCCATGTATAGGACGTACACTTGCGCAGTGTGTGTGTGTGT